CTATTTTATACTTTCTCCTTGTCGCATTACTTCATTGTTATTTGCATATTTCCTCAGTGTAATCGAAACATGTACGTGTAGAGTGATATTTCTATTTTAAAGTGGAAGCCATACAGCTTCAATAAAGTTTTTATTGTGTAAATATAAAACGTTGTTTTCAATTATTTATTATAATTTAAAAAAATTTAAACACGAGTGCCGGTAGTGCATAAATATAGATATGTTTCTAATTATGATATAAATGAAGTAGTTGAACACTAACGAATATTTCAACTTAATCCAGTTGTAGGTTTAGATTCCTTTTGTTTAAACATAATTTAAGTATTAACAATCAAAAACTTATATTCCTCAGAGTTTAAATACCATTTGATATTCATTACCTTTATTTAATCAAAAACAATGAAAGAAATTACAACCTTAACTTTCAGAACGATGTACGCTTAGTAGAAAAATTCACATAGAAATATTACTTTTAACTAAAAAATATTCCTTTTCGCCCAACGTGGGGCTCGAACCCACGACCCTGAGATTAAGAGTCTCATGCTCTACCGACTGAGCTAGCCGGGCTATGGAAATATGATACTAATATTATGAATTATTTTACGAATTGAACATGACAGCATTAGATCGTATAGAATTTTAGAGTCAAGTTCTACTCGAACACAATGTGGACGTTTTCAAGTCACACTAAATCAACTCGGTATTTTATGCTAAGTTTTGTACTATTTTGTTTTTAAAACTTAAAGTTATGAGCAAAGTAAGGTTCATCCTTCAAAGTTAATTTCTTCATGCTCTACTGTTTCTGCGTTTATTTTTTTATATTTTCTTAAGATTCACTTTAAATTATATATAAAGTCCCCAATAACAAGTGGCGAGAGTTCCTAGTACCAGAAGTGTCGTGTCTTACTGGGATTGTGATTGAATGTATTTAAACTAAATATTTTACATTCGATATAATTATCATTATGAACTGAGTAAATGAAACCCTCAAACTTCACTGAACTTCGTGGTCTAATAATTGAATTGCGCCGGATTTTTTATTTTATTTTAGAAACTGTTCTTGAAAGTTAATACATAACAGTAAACGAATATGTATTAGTTAGACATTTAATTTTGCTTTCTCTTTCTTTTTTCTGAGCATGGTTATTAATAATGAAATATAAAATATATATCACCCTTCAAGTATAACATCTTGTTAGAGTCATTTACTATGATCGTTTTGAATTATTGATGAGCGTCGTTACGGTTATTGTTGTAATTTTGAACGATTTAGGTACATTGTTACAGTTATTGTGGTAATTTTGAATGACTTAGACGTGTCGTTAAAGTTACTTATCATGATTGTTTTGAATTATTGATGAGCGTCGTTACGGTTATTGTTGTAATTTTGAACGATTTAGGTGCATTGTTACAGTTATTGTGGTAATTTTGAATGACTTAGACGTATCGTTAAAGTTACTTATCATGATCGTTTTGAATTATTAAGAGTCGTCGTTAGTAGTTATGGCTCTCGACTTCCATCCAAAAAAGCCGCTTCAGTGGGGTAATTTAGTGAGAGAAGATCAAAGGGAGCCACCTAGGGAGTAAGTATCTTTGAAACTGGGAAGTCATGTGACATCACAGTGCTACAGCTTGGCACCAGAAGCGTATGTTCCATGAAGTACCACTAAGAGGTCGATAGTTCCAAAGTGTGCTGTTAGGAGTGAATAATTCAAACCGTGTCTCTAGGAGAATGGGCGATGAGGTGATCACCGTAGACTTGGACACAACCTGAAAGTCAAGCTTAGAAAATTAATTACATCGAGATAATCTAGTAATATAAGTCCTGATAATGTTATTTTTAACTTTAGTGATCTTACCTTAAATGAACAATGTCAAAATGCTCTATCAGAAGGTTTAGACTGTTATCTACCTAACCGTAACTTGTTTCTCAAGTTACTTTTTTCCATTTGAATGTATTTACAGATATCTTAAATCCTTTCCTAGTTTTAACAAAAATAACACACCAAATACAGAATGCCTTATCAAAGCTAAATTTAACAATGCGGCATTGTCCTCCTTCTACAACATTAAGACTTTAAAAAACCCTTCTTCTATTACACAGGTTGAGTTTTCTGCCTTAAAATAACTTGCCAGTAACCCAACACTAAATAATAACATCAACTCCTACCTGTTGTCATTAATGTAATCAATTCCGAATTCTCACTTTTTATCTGATATTTATTATTGTTTCAAAGATACAGTGTTTATACTTATAATTAAGCCTTTCTTTATAGTAGCTTCTCCTAACCATGTTATTTATTCAACATGTGTATGCCGCACGTTTTATTGCTTAAATCTGTTCTTTCTAAACTTCCGATTGAAAACTCGCTCGATACTAATGTTGTTTTTTGCAGTTCGAATATTATGAACTACCTTTTTTTTTTGAGATATTAACGTTGATGATGGAATTTAAGGAAATTCTGAAACGTGCGTATTAAAGACGTTTTTTGGTATTATTGTGTTTTTAATATTTATTATAAACTTATATTTCCATCTTATGAATCAGAAATATTTTTCATATTAACATAAAACGTTCAAACTCTAGATATACATCATATGTATCACATTAAGTAATAAAAAAATAATTTAATTAGTTGTATAAGTAAAGCAATTTTGCTAGAAACGTGGATAATAAGCTCGTGGGGTGTATTTGAGTGAAGCACGCCAATATTAGAAACGTGGATAATAAGCTCGTGGGGTGTATTTGAGTGAAGCACGCTAATATTAGAAGTAGACAGGATAACTATTAAGAGTAACAATTTAGACTCGGAAAGTCAATAATTATTAAAGTTATAATTATTAAAAAATGGACTGATCAACTGTTGCTTGGGTGGACTAATAAATGTAAATCTTTCAAACATTTGTTGTTTAGTTTGAGTTAGCGAACTTTATGGTTGTTCTAAATCATGAAGGGTGAATGACAATGCATGTTATAATCTTATCCTATTTTTGTTCCTGCAAGGAGCATTACTAAGTTTGGGAAATGCTATGAGAATTTTACTCACGTTTAATGTTGCAAAACCTCGGTCTCTATTCTTATGTGAGGATAATTTGATATATATACTCAATTTTAGTCTAATAATTGTATTTTGAATTGTAAAGTCCAAATACTGTGTAAACTGAAAGAGTCAACAAACTTGTTTTTCCGGGTGTTAAGGTAATTGTTCAGTAACATACAAAATCCGTTCATAAGCTAGTTATGTTGAATTTAATCCTTAGTGTCTAGTGAACATAAAATCCTTTGGTTGTAAATCATCTCACAGATTGATGAACACAGTACATTAATTGTGACATAAAGATACCAAAATTGCGCACAAATTCGATACTTATCATTTAAGTTAAAATTGTATAATATTATTTACGTATTGAACCTAAATATTTAGAGCACGTCGTTAAGAATTATTGAGATGCAGAAAGACATTATTCTAAAATCCGATCCTCATTATACCTGAGATGTTTGTTTGTTATTATTTTTTTTAATTTCGCGCAAAGCTACACGAGGGCTATCTGCGCTAGCCGTCCCTAAGCCGTCAGACTAGAGGGAAGGCAGTTAGTCACCACCCCCCACCAACAACTCTTGGGCTACTCTTTTACCAACGGATAGTGGGATTGACCATCACATTATAACGCCCCCTCGGCTGAAAGGGCGAGCATGTTTGGTGTAACGGGGATTAATCACCTGGCCATGCCGGGCCCTATACATGGGATGAATCCACTGTGATATATGCCAGAGATAGCACAATTTGAAGTAAGTTTGTACGTAGAATAGAACATAGTGTTTTGTACTTTAAAGTGAATTTTTACAGAAAATCATAGAAGTTGTGATATCCTATTGTATACCATGACTAAACATAAGATTGTAAGTTTTGTTGTTTATTTCACATAGTTTATATAATTTACATGTGTGAACAGATTTCACCTATTCATTCGTTTAGCATAATATTAATGCGCTATATTTGGTTGGAACAAAATGATTTTTATATAGTTTAATAACTAGAGGATAAAATCGGTTGTAATAGGCTTAAGAATGAAAACCGAGCTATATAGATTATGATAAATTTAATGCATTACTACTGACTATTTTATCATTTAGACATATGGCACTACTTGTAGTTTATGTAATTGAGAAAAACAAATCCAGAGATTGATCAGCTTTTTAATTGAACGATATCAAACAGTCTTTTTTTCAGAACTACATATACTGTAAGTTTAATCAGTGCATGACATGATTATGATGCACATGAAAAATATAGAGTTTAAATATTTAGGTTGACATGGAAATTAGCCCTTTACATTGGTTGTTAAACTAATATATGGATATTCATGTGTGTAAACCACGAAGTACGACATATAAATAGTCAAAATGTAATAAATGAAATATGAATTTTCATATTCATACGCTTTCTTTATTATTGTTATTGAAATGAAATTATAAAGTACAAGGTCGACACTAACGACAATGAATGAACTAATATCTTGTTAATAATTAAAGAGAGAAATTATTAATTTTTAATTCGTAATGTGATGCATTTCTAGAATTTCAACGTTTTATGTCAATATGAAAAAATAGTCCTCAGCGTAGATTGTGAGTTATACTAGAATACGGTGATGATCTATCGTCCATTTATTGAGGCACTTTGGAATTATCAACCCCTAGCTGCACACCTTGAGTTATACACCCCTATTGGCACTTGACGGAATTATCCTCTGTCTGACGCCAATCTGTGGAATACGGTGAGGCACTTTGGAATTATCAATCCCTAGCAGCACACTTTGGAGTTATTCACCCCTATTGGCACTTGACGGGATTATCCTCTGTCTGATGCCAATCTGTGGAATTGTGATGTCACGTGAACTCCCACGATCGAATAATAACTCCCTGCTGGGTTAGCACCCTTTGCTCTCCACTCATTATGTTCTCCACTGAGGCGGCTCTTTTGGACGGAGTTCGGAACCCTAAGTACTGCCACTACAGTTATTTATTATAATCACTTTGAATGGTTATGGTGCTTCGTTAAAATGTTTATTATGATAATTTTGAATGAAAGAGATTCGTCGATAAAGTTGTTTATTATTATTATTATTTTGAGTTACTAGATTGATTTATTTTGATAATTTTGGATGCTTGAGTTTTGGAGACCACACAAGCATGTAAATGTTCAATATTGAAAATGTCTCATAAGATTTGATCGTTTTCGGCTAACAAGCTTATAAGCCTAAAATCCAAGGCTCGATACTTGAGGTGGGCACGGCACAGATATAAAAGAAAAAACTTGTACCTTGTTTTTACTGTTAAACAATAACAGTTATGTCAACAAATAGAACGCATATTTTTGTATGTTTATCAACGAATATAAATATACGCGAGTACTTACTATATCACGTTTCGTAGAGCTTATTGTTTCTGTTTTATATGAACTGTTTGATCATTTTGTAATAATGACAGACATGATAAATCAAGTAAATGTTATAAACAAATATAAATAGATTTCTATCTGTACATGTAAGTATAATTTTGAAAATTTTAGATTGTAGTATTTTTAAGATTTTTTTTTTACATTTCCTTATATCTATTGTTAGGTAATTAGGTAATTAATTTGTTCATACCAGACAATTTTAAACACAAATTTAAACAATCGAAAATAGACTACCAAGTTGACAATTAAAAATAACTTCTAGATGTCTTTTACTCACATAGAGACTAGAGATCCCATATTTATAAAGGAATTTTAAGAATATGCAGTAATGGTGCTGCTAATTTATTCTGATGAATTATTCAGCTGACATGCTGTCTAAAATACAAAAAAACAAAAACAAAAAAAACAAACATCAATGTGAAACTCAGTTTATAATTCGATTTACTTCTTGTCATTGAGTTATATCCAAAACCGGTAACACAAATGACAGATTAGGCTTCACATTTATTTTTTAAGAATAGTTTTTATTAGACGATATTTAAACGTTACATTTAATGTTTTTGAAGACAGAGTTTCATGTTTTTCTTCTCTTGGTTTATTTCTTTTTTCTTAAAGGAAACCTAACCAAGCTTGCTCCTATATTTCACCGTTTTATGAGTCAACATGTCAGCAACGGTTCAGCTTACACCGTTTGATAGCTGTGCGACCCTGGGAGCCCAACCGAAGTCCAGTAGTGGCGCTGTTTAAATTCCCAGCGGGCTGTGCGTGTCGTGTTGCTCGAATATAAGAACAAAATTAATTAAACAGTCTGCTCAGTATTCTTGCTTCACAGGGAATGTATTCAAACAAAATAAACATTCACGCCTTCTAACATACTAAAATTTGTATATTTACATTAAACTTTATTTATGATTACGTTATTTATATTTTTAGATTTGACACTTCTTGTTTATTGTAGAGACTAAAATAATTACGGGTAAATAGCATTTTTCAAACACTCAAATAACTTTATGACTAAAAAAACTTGATGTATTATTTTCTTTTATTAAGTCGAAAACTCATAAGTGTGCCAGTAATTTATAAAAAGAAATTGGTTAATATTATATAGTCTCTTCAAAGACCATGAAACTCTCTTGATCATTTTTGTTGTTGTTGTTAGACAAGTTCTGTTACTTTATGTGTATATCTCTCGCAGCAAGATATCTAGCTATGTTATTACAGCAGTTAATGGGGCAAAATAATCTGATTAGGCTCAACAACGGCACTAATAACTCAAAATTATTAGATAAAGTACTACTATTAAAGTAGTACAGAAATGAACACAAAATTATCAGTCGAAACGTAGCAAAAAAATGTTAGAATTATCATGGATAAGTATTGTCAGGCCTAACAATAATCCTGGAAACACCAAAATTATCAGATAATACTTAACAGCAACTATTTTTCCCACGTTATTGGTATCTCTAATAACAGAAAGACTATTAGATTTGACTATCGATAGGCTTAACAGAAGCACGAAAAACCATTTTATTGGTATAATTTTCTTAATCTTCATCTGGTAATTTTGTTGTTTATTATATGAACAATTTTTTTCATCTCCTAATTGAATTTTGCAACAGGTTCTTCAAGTGATCGAATTTTATTTAAAAAAACATAAATGTGAATGAATATGTACTTTTCGAATATGATCTTAAAATGTAAAGGATGAATGGTATCTTTGACAACAAAGGTGAATATTTTAAAGTTTCTTTTTTTCTAGATATTTAAAAAAAGATTTGTTGTGCATATTTAACCCTAATAATAATAATATATATACTATTCTGGCAATACTGGGCAAAAAGCAAACAATCAAACAAACAAAAATTGTTTCTGTAACTTTCACTACCTCTACACAAGTGGTGCTCTTGTGATACTACAATTGAAATAAACCAAAACATAATATTCAATGAAGTTGAAGCGTTGAAACACGTGTTTTATTAATATTATAGGCAGTTATAAGACTTGTGATATAAAATAATAACTTAAAAATATAATGATGCTTTTTATTAAAGGTTAACAGTAGTGTCAACAAAATGTGTCATTCACGTGATACGAAGGCATTGGTTTGTTTGTTTGTTTTGAATTTCGCGCAAAGCTACACGAGGGCTATCTGCGCTAGCCGTCCCTAATTTAGCAGTGTAAGACTAGAGGGAAGGCAGCTAGTCATCACCACCCACCGCCAACTCTTGGGCTACTCTTTTACCAACGAATAGTGGGATTGACCGTCACATGATAACGCCCCCACGACTGAAAGGGCGATCATG